GGCGCATCCAGTATTAACAGTCACAAAAAGAGTTGCTCGAGCTTAGCAAGTACTAACCCCCACCCTAACCATCACAGTACTTTCTAAGTCATTGGCTATACTGCACTCTGTGGTGCATTATTACTCACAACCCTTATTTTCATTTGAGATGACTAGTCATGGCTCACACAGCAAGAAGAAAATGTAACACACACACACACACACACACACACACCCCAAGGAGTGGGAAGGGAAGTAGGGAGGAGATGGAGTGGAGAGGAGGGACAAGGAAGAGGAAGAGATAACTGAGAGGGCCAACCACAGAACAGCCTGTCACATATTTTTATTCTTGAGTTTACTAAGATTAAATCTTGGAGCCAAGAATTTAGGGTTAGGGTTTTGTTTTATAAAGGTTGTTTGCCTGACTTATAAAAGGTATGATTAAGTATGCTAATTAATTGTGAAGAGGTTTCTGGATACCTCTTGAGAATCACAGTAACTTAAATACTTCAATAAACAGTTGCGGATTGGAATTCACTTACTGAACACTGCTTTAAGTGCTACGCAAAAGCTGAAGCTGCTCAAAGCCAGGTAGAAAAAAATTTTAAAAGAAAAATAAAGCTCCTGGGGAGAGTTTATAAGAGACTCATATGCATGAAGGCACTAAGTAATCCCAGCAATCAAAAGGCTGAGGCACGAAGATCAGAGGCTGAGTGAGGCGAGAGGAGTGCTGTGGATTCAAGGGCAGCCTGAACTTCATAATGAATTCAAGGATAGCCTGACGTATATAACAAGATCTTGTCTCCCAAGAAAAGGTTCTACCCAAAATTCAAATTCCAAATTGACATTCCTAGTTACACAATGAAACATTAGTCACCACCAGTTAATCTAAGAGCTTAAGTCTATAATTATTTTCTCAAAATAAAGGGTTTTGTTTTTGTTTTTTAACAATTTGTGGTCCACATTACTAAGTATAGCTCTGAGAGGACTGGAATCCCGGGAAAAGAATTGAAGAGAAATAACCTGTGTGTGTTCAAGAGGCAAAGGGGGACAGAGTGGAACTAAGCCCATAAATGTGGAGCCACTATGAATGCTTCAACTAGATGACTCTTCCAAAGAGGTCTCCTATCCTTTCCAGTTACTTTCAACCCCATAGTAGAAAGGGAAAGTCATAAAAAGATAATGGGAGGGAAAAGAAGTTTTAGATAAAAACAAGCTGCTAATATCCTTTTGTTTCTACTAACCTATACATGTTTAGTGAAATCAAATATAAGCCATCTAATGGAATTGATTTTTCAATTTAATTTTATCTCAACTCAAATGCTTGTATACCCAGAAACATTTTAGACCCAGGGAAAAGGACAAATGACACCAAGAACTGCTAGAACTCTCCAGCTAACATAAGAGGAAACCATATAAACCATTGTAATTTTAGTTTATATAGACAAAAATGTAACAACCTCCGGCCCTGATATTCTCTTCTCCCTCATCTTCATAATGCCAGCAAGTTGGGAAAGGGCTAGCAAGTAGCAATAAGGTAAAACATCTTGATTTTAACACATAAATTGAAATATAAGACAACTGAAAGTAAACTATTCACTCAGAGAGCGGCATTCTCTTTCCTCTCGTTATCCTCTATCTTTTCTTCTTAATTAACAGGCTGATTCCAAAGTTCTTCACATTTTTGCTCTGCTTTAAACCTGATGGAAGTTGAATCCAAGCACCAACTCCCAGAGGCTCTCACACAGAGCAGGGCATACCAATTAGCCAACTGAGGAGTTAGCTGCAACTAGAAGTTGTTGCCAAGAGAATTCTCAACCTCCACATGAGCAAGAGCTAAAGTTTAGAGACACTGGAGAGGAATTTAGCAACCCAATTAATCTAAATCGAATTTCTTTATCTAGACAGCATACTAACTAGCAGTGTAACCCTTAAAGGTTATACTGACTCCCACAATTGAAGACAATGAATCTATATCCCATACAAACCAGAATCTGAGCTTCACAAACTTGAAATCAACTTCACTTTCAACATCCTGTCAGTATACTTCCTACTCATTACTGCCACCACAATCAGGAGCCACACAAGGCTATGCCAACAGCTTTTAACAAAAGGATAATCATTGAAACATTTCCTATTTTGTTTTAGCCTTAAATTTTTCTTTCTTTTTAATTCTCTCCTACATTCCTCTTCAATCTTGAATATTCCTACTCTTCAAACTATTAACTATGAAGAAAGCACCCTCACCCTCCTACTCAGGGAAATTTTCCTTTCTTTATTCTAATGCACTTACCTCACATTTATTCTAACATTCCATATACTATTTCTCATTTTTCTGTTTCACTTTCTCTATTGCAACGACATTACTATAAAAACTTGCATGACTCTATTACAAAACTCCTCTTTTTAGTACTACCTCCGTTTTCCTTGTTCCTTTCACAACTCCAGTTCTCTACTTCCTAACTATCAGCTGTGCTTCTGACCAACTCTTCATTTTCTTAAAACAAAAGGGCTTGTGGAGGGGTGGAGGTATTGTGTATTTTTTAAGAAACTTTTCCTTCTTTCTGATACGGCATTTGTTACACAAGTATTACTATTCCAAAACTACAGCAGCTTCAAGGTGACTGTAAAACCTTACTGCAGAGTTTGAATCCTTTAGCTGATTTTCTGTGGTACAGCAAAATGACTGGAGTTCTGTTGGAATCATACTTGAGAGCCGAATCTCAATTTCATTACTTCACTAAAGGTAAACTTATTTGTGTTTTGAAAAACTGTCTCGCTATGTAGTTCGAACTGGCCTTCAACTCACCATGTGGCCCAGGCTGGCCTGGAACTTGCAGTAATCCTCTTGCCTCAGCCTTTCAGGTCCTGGGATTACAGCCATCTGCTATTATGCCTGGCAATTACAAAGTGAACTTTTGGGCTGGGGATTTAGCTCAGTGGTACTGCACCTGCCTTGCAAGCACCAAGTTCCTGAGTTCAATCCCCAGTACCACAAAAAAAAAAAAAAAAAAAAAAAAAGTCGCTTCTAGGCCTCTTGGCTAAGATCAAGCGTAAAAGGTAAACTTTTATCACTTACAAAAAGCTTACCACCTTTAATAACAGCCTAATTGTATTTTACACATTCGTGTTCAATATGAGGCTAAAAAGCAAAACACAAGAGGCAACTACTAGTATGAGAAATAACAGTGATCTCTCCAAGGTACACAAAACCAAGAACAAAGATGCATGTTCGGCAACACTAATTTTGTTTTCATTTGAAAAATGGCAACAAATATCCCACATGACAACCAATTAAAAAGATTCAAACTAAATAAAAACCAGAACTATTTAGGATATCTTCACTTATAGATACCTGCCTAGAATTCAAAACACTTTCCTGCTCACTGAAATAATGTGATCAATAGTAGCTAGTAGGCAACAGCCACAAAAACAGAATTTTTTTTAAAAAGGTCTTCAGTCAGGAGTCAGGAATAAGGAATAGTGGTACATGCCTGTAATGCCAGCAACTCAGGAAGCCAAACAGGTAAGAGGACCTCAACTTCAAAGTCTGCCAAAGCAATTTAGAAACCTTGTCTGTCTCAAAAGAAAATATTTTCAAAGTAAGTGGGGATGCAGCTCAATGGTAGAGCACTTGTGCAGCATGCACAAGACCCTGGGGTTCAAACATCAGAACCACAAAAATACTACTAATAACAATGATGTATTAAAATACCTGTACTGCTGAGCATGGTGGTACATACCTATAATCCCAGAACTCTGGGAGACTAAGGTAGGACAGCCATAACTGAAAGCTCGGACTGGGATGTTTAACAAGAACTTGTCTCAAAACAGGTGGGGTTTATGTGTGCTAACATACATAGGTGCAATTAAACAGGCACTTTTTACAGGATTCTGGAGGGAAAACCCAAGTATCTTCAAAGGTACTGTACACAGTACCTAGTGCTGGGAGTGTGTGCTGATCAAGAGCTCTGCCATCAAACTACATCCCCAGGCTTTTTGTTTTTTTGAGAGTCTCGTGAGTTGCTCAGCCCAGGGTCCAACTTGCCAGTCGCCAGCTTCAAACTCCCAGAGTGGTGGGATTACAGGAATGTACCACCACGCCACTTTAACTTTTCTTTGGTTGACACAAATCTCTACATCAAAATATTATTTATAAGCTAGACACAGTGGCACACACCTATCATTTTAGCTGCCCGGAAGGGCAAGACAGGAAGATCACAAGTGCAACTTCAGCCTGGGCAAAGCAAAGAGAACACCTTGTCTCAAAATGAAAAAGGGCTTAGGGTATACCTCACTGATACAGCACCATTTAATTGGTTAAATCTTCAGTTTAATTGGTTAAATCCCCAGTTTAGTCACTTTGACCCATAATAAAATATAAGCCCCAGAAAAAGAGGGAGGGAACAAAAAGATTTTAGAACCATTAAGATAAATGGTAAAGAATTTGGTGAGCAAAAAGCAGAAGTAAAATTAATTAACAGAAGTAAAGGAGCCAGGGATTTAGGCTCAGTGGCACCGCACCTACCTCACAAGCACAAAGTGCTGAGTTCAATCCCTGGTACCAAAAAATAAATTAAATTAAATTAAAAAGATGTGAAGCCAGGCATAGTGGAACACGTCTATATACCCAGCACTCCCAGAGGCTGAGAAGGAAGAACACAGGTTGAGCCAGCCCTGATGAACTCTTAGTGGCTTTAGAGGGACTGTGTCTCAAAATTTAATTAAGTCTTTTAAAGAGTTAGGGGGTTGGTTCAGCAGCAGCACATCTGTCTGGCATGTACAAGGCCCTGGGTTCTATTCCCAGGACCAAGCTAGGGGCACTAGAGCTCACTGGCAAAGCACCTCTAGGGAGGGAGGAAGAAAAAATGATATAGGGGGTGGGGATTTAGCTCAGTGGTGCACCACCTGCCTTACAAGAGCAAGGCCCCAAGTTCGAGCCTCAGTACCCCAAAAAAAAACCAGATGATCACAGTATGTGTACCATTCTCTCCTAACCCATCCTTTCCGTTTGCCTTAAGGAAGACCACACCAGAGAACAAATGTCCAAACTGAAGAGCTGACAATGACCACCTGGCAATAGCTAAGAGCAGGAAGGCTGGTACAATGTGGCAAAAAGTAAGCAATGAAGGGAACATGATAAGCAATGGTCAAAAACAAGACAGAGGGGCTGGGGATTTAGCTCAGTGGTTCCTCCGCCTGCTTTGCAAGCACAAGGTCCAGAGTTTCATCCCCAGTACTAAAAAAAAAAAAAAA